TAAACGTGTATCCTACACGATTCTCATCTATCCGCCTCGTGTTTCCTTTTGCTGCTACTGGAACGAAGTAAACAACGTTTGTGACGTTCCTAAAACAAGTGGTTACCGACCATTGGTAAAAATACTTTTCTATTTAAACGGAAGGTACGTGTTCCCACGAAACAGATCTGAAAATAAAATATGCAGTTTGGGATAATCCTGGAATGCATTTTCAGTGCTCCCCGTTTAAAGAAGAATACATATTAATTTATTTACATCGATACCTGATGAATTCGGTTCTTTATAATATTCAAGAGAAACGTATCGAAATTTCCCAGACGCCGGATATCCGAATGATACGATCGATCAATTATTTTCAGCAGCCTATAATCAGCCACGGCGCCTCGAAAGGTCGTCGCTGTAACATACACAATCAGGTCACATTCTGTCTACGAGCCAGCAATCAAAGATCGGTTAGCTTTAGATACATTACAAAACGAACACGATGTATTCGTTTTCTACGTGTGTCCGTACACATCATTTGGTTGTAAATTCACCTAGATCATTGGAGCGAGCCGTTCTCATCTCGTTCACGAGATACGGCAGCACAATGAATGAATCGAATCTGAAAATACACTACACTCTTAAAAGCAGGACGTTTATTTATAATTGATTCGACTAAGAACGTGCTGCACATCTTTCTCTTGTTGTTTTCTCTCTCTCTCTCTCTCTCTTTCTATGAATAGCGATGTCGTTGATCGAATTTGTCGTTGCACGTCACATTGTACGGCGGACATTAATTACGTTAGGGTAAACTCGTCGTGTTCAGAATCAACCAAGCGTATCCCACGTATTGCGATATCCGAGGCGGACTGATTAGCAGACCACTCTCTGTGTATTGGCTCTTCCCCATCCTCCTTCGTTTCACCCTTCTTCAGCTGTGCTCTCACCCTTCATCGGCGAAATCGTTGAAATCGTTGCCACTTGATAATTAATGGCCACTTATGGATTTAAAGTGAGGAGGTCAGTGTCACGTCGAGCTTCGCCGGAGTTCGTTACGTAAGGATAGCCTTTTCACATGACAGCGTAATTCTACACACAATGTATACCTATAAATATATACGCGTATGCGGCCTTCTGGTCTATGGTACACCGTGACAATCTCGTTTATAACAATTGACATTCGTATCTAAAAATAAACTTCTCATTTGACTTTCTTTGCACCGTCAACGACAAAGAGTAACTGCGTGTTAAGTGAAAACAATGAATATTATGTGCATACATCTGTGAACAATGATTCACAATGTGTCGATTACCTTGATACATAATCAGCAGTTTTTGTACTCCAGATGCAGAAACTATATGCCATCGAGGATCTATTTGATTCACTATATCGTGCAATCTATTTTATATATATTTATATATGTAACCTGATTTACAAGTTACAGCTCATTTTTGTGCTTCAATAATCCTTTGATCAAAGTTCAGTTGTAACTGGCTATTATACATCACACCAGTGGCTTTAATATGACTCTGCGAACGTTGATTTATAATGTATTGTACGCTGTTGCACACGCTAATGACCCCTGGGAAAAATAATTTGGAGCTGAGAACAGTTTTCAAGTGAAAATTTATGTTTGCTGGCTGATTAAAGCGAAGGATCGTTTACTTATATGATTTAATTCTTCGTTTAAAATTCACGGGGTATTTTGTTGTTTCTGCATGGCCCAAAATTATTTCCATTTGTTCGGCACGGTTGTAAATTAATTTAGTTTGACTTAAGTAGTCGTACGTGTATAATTCAAATTATCTGCCGGATCGCAATTCTTTGGTGATCGGTGTTAGAGAAGAAATTGTGGACAAGTGAAAGAGCCTGCAGAAAGGGAAATAAAAATTTAAACAGAGAGGATATAATTTCGATATAATTTGAATAGATGGCATTCGACAGATTACCAACAGCTCTCTTAGTGTCGTTAGCCGTAGCGAGAGTGAGGTCAGCAACGCCACGCCACTCAATAAATCAGCTCGGCTGCCGGTGCCAACGGAGATGCCTGAATTCTGCCACGTGATCCGTCAACAGAAAGTTCAACCGGTAATGCTCGAGCTTAGTCTCCCCCTCTCACGGTTATATTCACCACTGGTGAAAATCAACGGGCGAATTTGAACGAAGCGATGATCAGACAGACAGATAACAACTGACTCGCGACCCATTTTTTGTCGTTTCTTCCCTACCTCCAGTCATTCCTCTCTTTCTTGTTCTCTGGTGCTCCATACTCGCACAATCTTTTTTTTTCTTTCGCGTTTACTAACTACACAACGGGACCGTCGTTACCTTGACACTGCGCGAAACAATTGTCTCACGCGCATGCGCATCCGTTCGCGTAGTGAGAAATTTTTACCACTCTACATAGTTTTTTTTTTCCCCC